TGGAAGCAAAAGTAGGAGGAGGAGAGAAGGGGAAGGAATTGAAGAGAAAGGGGGATGAGGAGGTAGAGGCGGAGAACATGGGGGATAAGAGGGGGGAAAGGTGTGAATGTGAAAGGGAGGTGCAGGGAGAGGTGGAGAGAGAAGAGGAGGGGGAGAGTGGCAGAGGGGAAGGGGAATTTAAAAAAAAGGAAGAGTGGTGAAAAGAAAAAGGAGGTGGGGAGGATGATAGAGAAGCAGAGAGGGTTGGGAGATGGAGAGAAATGTGAAGAGGGAGGGTAGTGGGGAGGGAGACAACCAAATCTTAATCAAAATAAGCATACAATTTAGAGACAGAGTAACCTTTACTTACTGCTTACTGTACAAAGGCTTAATTCCTAAACAATAAAGATATCTATCATAGGCTTTTCTATTGGTGACAACAAAGGGGTTCAAAATCATGACTTCAGTCAAAAAATTATTTTTTTTTAGTTGAAGTTTTTCAACCTCTTGTTGTTGTTTTTTTCTTTCTTTGGGTAAAGGGAAGCACATCGACACAATAATATTCATTTAGTGTTAGGAAAAAGTAAGACAGCCAGTCAGAAACAACAGAAGGAAAGTAAAGAAGTAGGACCTACCAGAGGCTCCCTCCAACCACCCGCTCATCCTCTTGTGGTAGGCAGGGTACAGGGCAGATTTAACATGAAATTTAGCAGAAATAAATACCACTTGGTAAATAAACCATAAAACTGACAAAACAGAAAAATAATGCTCACTGGTAAATGAACCAAAATTTTAGTTTTCAAAAGAGTTTTACAGCACTAGCAACACAACGCAAATAGGTTATATACGAACAGAAGAATAGAGGTGTTATATAGAAAGTAACATACAACAAGAAAAAAAAACCAACCCAAAAAACAGAGGGAGGAGAGATTAGGACAATATAGATGTTTGATAGGAAAGAAGGAGCAAACCACACCAGAGCACCCACTTGTCACTAACAAAAAAAGGAGATATAAGGACTATAGATCTTTGAAAGGAAAGAAGGAGCAAACCACACCAGAGCACCCACTTGTCACTAACAAAAAAAGGAGATATAAGGACTATAGATCTTTGATAGGAAAGAAGGAGCAAACCACACCAGAGCACCCCCCAATCACACACAAAGAAGGAGAGATAAGGACAAAACATGTTTGATAGGAAAGAAAGAGCGAACCACACCAGAGCACCCCCCAATCACACACAAAGAAGGAGAGATAAGGACAAAACATGTTTGAAAGGAAAGAAGGAGCAAACCACACCAGAACACCCACTGGTCACTAACAAAAAAAGGAGATATAAGGACTATAGATGTTTGATAGGAAAGAAAGAGCAAACCACACCAGAGCACCCTCCCCACTCACAAATGAACCACAAAGATGACAAAAACAAAGTTCAAAGTTTCGAGGACAAAGAAGTCAAGCTCTGGTCAAACCTCGTCCTGTAGGTCCAGCAGTTTGTTCTTCAGCTCCTGGTTCTCTCCCTTCTCGTGCAGCCGTCCCGCGGCCAGCAGTTCTTCCTTCTGAAAGGACAGAGGACACACAACAGTGAGACTTCGCACACACAACAGTGAGACTCCGCACATCCCCTCAACTTCTCAGCACTCTCTGCAACTGGCATTTTCTAAACCTTTAAGCCCTTGCCACCAGTACACCGGTGGCACGTAAAATTGCTCGTATGCCTAACCACTAGTACAGCAGTGAGCGAGACCCTATCCCTGATCCGGCCTGTCTGAGACAAAACGGGCACAGAAATCAGTGTTTTCTGCACAGGACAACATTGATTATTTTGAAGATCTTTCTGAATTAGGTGTTGGTAATGACAAGGACTACCTTGAATGGGGTATGAGATGTGATTCTGACGATGATATAAATGAAGGCGTGAACCACTCAGGAGCTCATGCAGAGGAGCAATGGTAGCCACAGGAGGTCAGGGCCCAAAGGGTCAAATGAGCTATACCCTGGGCTCCTGAGTAATTTCATTGATCTTTTCGGTATACTTTTCAACAGCTTATTTTAGTGCTGATCTTATTTATCTATCTCATATATTGGTAGTCATATCACTATGTTGGTGTATACTGATACTGCGGTTTCGTATTTGTGCTCTATTTCAGCAATCACATGGTATTTTTAGGTGGGTATGTCACATTGACATATTGGTACCCCAGGACCTTTACCACATTGCATTCATACCGGATTTTCAACCCAAAGTGTTCACAGGGTTAAGAACCCTTTAGAATGGATTGTGAAGGCAGACCAAACACTATCCTTGTCTATAAAGGAGGAAAAGTTGATAATAAAATGTGACCATGAATTTTTAATGCAATTACAGAATGACTGCTCAGTGTAAGACTATCCCGTCACTTTTCAAAATGGTGTTGGAAAAAGAGGCTTACACTAAACAGTCAAAGCATACACACAGGTTTGGATATAAATCTTTCTATTTTTAGTAAGAGTTTTACAGCACTTGCAACACAACAAAGTCAAACAAGTGCTGAAGACTAGAGGTGTGACAAGAAAGTAACAAACACACAAAAGAAGGAGGAGGGATCCAGGCGAAACATGATTGATAGGGAAGAAGGAGCAAACGACACCAGAACACCCACTAACCACCTGAGGCCAAATAAACTGACCGTGAATTTTACATGCAAATACAGATGACTGTTCAGCGTAAGACGCTATCATACATCAATTTTTAAAATGGTGTGAGGTGGAGACTTATCCTAAGCAGTCAATACATACAAAGAGGCTTGGAAATAAATCTCTTGAAAGAAACAGAGGAAAAGAGTTAACTAAAGCGTTAGAGTAAAGAGAAGCACGACGTCACAATACTGGCCTCTTAGTTCTTGGAAAAAGACAAGAAAGGCATACAAGGAGTATAACTTCCCTAAGAAAAGCTTCGTACAAAGTTGTATTTGCATTCATGACTGTTAAGATGAAAAACTAGTATCTGTGAGCATAACAACAGCCGCTAGAAGCAGTCTCTTTGTCATTTTAGGAGGAAACTTCAAATGCTGGGAGCAGCCACTAGGGTTTACTAAGTTCAAGTATGATGAAAATTATTTACCTGGATATCGATCAAAGCAATTTTGTGCCTCAGCTCAGCTAGTTGCTGAACACTCTCTGCCTCTTTGATGCGCGCCATCATTCCCTCTTCCTTCCTCTTACTTTCCGTGTCATCCAGTTTGCGCGTCAGGTCTTTGATATTCGTCCGCAAGTCCTTCTCTCGCTCCAGTGCCTCCTCCATTTGTTTCTTCAGTTCTTTGTTGTCCTCTCCCATGCGACGGATTTGATTGGTGCAAATTTGGTTCTGTGAAAAAGCCATGACAGAGATCATGAAATACTTCTACTACTACTACTAATCAATAGATTGCATCTATATAGGCATCTATATCACCAGACGCAAGTAGGCACGGAGCTCTTAAGTCATTAAGTCCATGACAAATTCTTCGCATCCTAAGAAGATTTCAGTGCAAGCTGCCATTTCATAGGAACTTAAATATCAATATACTGACAACACTTTTCTTTGTCTTTGTCAGGTACCCATATGTGAGGCAGTGTGGTGGATTCAGCCTCTCGTTAATTTTTGAGCTTGTAGAGTTATTGGTATCATCTTATAGCTTGTTCAGTTGTCTTTATTTGGAGGAAAAAAAGATCCATTTATCTTGAATACAAGTCGAGATATTTGCGAATGAAGGAGGTGGGGTTACCTGTTTTCAGAGGTA